TTTAAATTAAAAAGTTGAACAAAGATATTGTATTTGTTACATTTAATTTGAAGTTACTACTATCTGTTCAACATTTACGTATTCAACAATTTGTCTACGAATTTACCTATCAACTTGTTAATCAATCTACCATTTTACCGGCTCACCAATTTACCTGTCAACCTATTTACCTATCAACCCGTTTCACATGTCTACCAATTTACCTGTCAACCTGTTTATCCGTCTTGTTATTTGTCTATCTATTACTTTGTTCTCTCTATTTTCCCTATCCTCCAATTTACCTGACCACCAGCTATCCAACAAATTACTTTTCACCAATTTACTTATCTACCAATTTACCTGTCCTTCAATTTGCCTGTCTATCAATTTACCTATCGACCTGTTTGTCAATACGCCATTTTACCTGTCAACCAATTTACCTGCGTGTTCTAAATATCTACAAATCAACTTGTTTAATAATATGCCTACTGAAAAATTTACCTGTTTAGCAATTTGTCTACGAATTTACCTATCAACCTGTTTATCAATATACCATTTTACCGGCCTACAAATTTATATGTCATCCCGTTCTACATGTCTATCAACCTGTCAACCTGTTTATTAGTCTACATATTTGTCTATGAACCAGTTCTTCTCTCTACCATTTTACATATCCTCCAATTCACCTGTCCACCAGTTTACCTTTATAAATTCTCTAATTCACCTTATTTACCTGTCCACCAGTTTACCTTTATAAATTCTCTAATTCACCTTATTTACTTACGCGTTATAAACAAATTAAAGCTCGAATTGATTCTACGTTTTAGTTAGAAAACGTTTGTATGTGAAAAAGAAAAGGGCTGTTTTTAGGGTTTTCCCAGCAATTATTCGATTTTTTCTCGCCGTAAGAACCATCCTTAAGACTTCAACAAACATTTTAAAGAAAGAATTGGCCAAATTGGTCCAGGCGTTGTTGAGTTATGTACTTACCAACACATTTTGCGATTCATTTTTAAATTGTAGATTAATTAATTTATTTATATACGATTCCTTTGCATAAAAATAGTTATTAAACATAGCTAAAACCTTTTAAACCTTAACTTTTTTCAAAGTCGCTTAAACGAATCAGAAACACCATTAAAACAAATAGATTAAGAATCTTCATATTTGATGCCAACTTTGGACAAGCTTATGTCAAGCAGCTGTGATGGACATAGATTGCAATGTTTCCAAGTGGAACATGCCGTTAACCGGCATTGCTGTATCAATAGAAATTCATCATTATTACAGAAATCTTAATAAAATTCATTCATTCAGACAAAGATGTAACAACTGTTTGGGTTGCTAAAAAATCTATAAAAATTGACGTAGTAGTTAAGATCTTAGATGTTCTGATTGCTGTTTAATTAGAATGAAACAAAAATTATGAAACATACGCCATTAATCCATAAACATGAACAGCAAGTACATGAAGATATTAGTTTATATATACTATAGTATCCTAAACAAGTTCAATTTATATTCAACTAAGGGGTATTTCGTCAAAACGTAATCTCGATTTATGATCAATCCCGGAGTTCGTGTTATGTGGATTTAATAACCGGCGCTTCTCATAGCAATCCTTAGCGTAAAAAAGACGTTGAATAAAAAAGCGAAAGAAAAATAAATGCCGCATGTAAATTGAAATGTGAAATACGGCACGGGAAGGCGAAACAACGAAATACTGATGGCTATAAAATGACTTGTAATACCGCCGTTCTCCGAATGGCTTTATCGCTTAAGAGGAAAGGGAGAACAGCTTAGCCGCTACGGAGAATATTTAGTGAGAACGCCAGTGGTAAAATATCAAATCAAGTATTTTGCCAGACTTGCCGGTGAATTCTACCGTAAAATAGACCAAAGCCTCGGAAAAGCTATGATACGTCATATAAAATGGTACTAAAAACTGTCAAGATGCGATGTACTTGCTGTGCGATCAGGCATTCTACACAAAAAATCTAACATCTTCTCTATATTACCAGAATGATGCACTTATGATAAAATTCTCTTTTTGAAGCTTGGGCTTTTTCTAGGTTAGGTCTTCTATCTAAAACGTCCGTCTGCACAGCAACCACATAGAATTTTGACAGTTTTTAGTAATATTTTATATAAAAAATATTTAAAAAAACATACGCAGCTTAACATAGCTTTGCTATAACATTGGTCTATTTTACGGCAGAATTGGTAGATTAATTTGTGATTGGTAGATTAACTGGGGTCAATTAATTTATATTCCACCGGTCGCCAAGCTCAAGCAACAATAGTGACCAGTTTGATTTCAGAATATGAATTCACATTTTCAATCATAATTTCCAGGTCACTCCAACATTTTGCAAAGATTTTAAAATAAAATACTTAGGCAAATTGTCAATGTACCTAAATATATCTTCAGGTGGCTTCTCTGTGAATATTTGAGAGTAGCCACTATCAAGATATACATAAACATACTTATAAGTACAGTAACAGGCTGATACTATAGACTAATACCCTAGCAAGAAAGTTGTTAGATCAAGTACATTACAGAACATTGAAAAAATAAAATAATGACTTATAGACCGATTCTGCCGCATAACAAATCAATGTAATGGCAAAGCTATATTCTGAAGAACTTTCCATACTAATTCGTTCTAAAAATTGACAAAAGCCATGTGGTTGCTGTGCAGTCAAGCGTTTTTCTCAGGTTGTCGCCGCACAATTAGATAACTACTATCTGATCTACTAACGCAAACGAAAATTGCAGTGACGCGCCAACCAACTCATCTATAACGACATTAGATAACTACTATTAAATCCAGTTTGTAAAATAGGATACCTAACCTAGAACATCACAATTATATAACAATTAGGTCTTTCTGAACCAGCTTCATAATTCCAGTTAGCTTCAGTTTATGTGCAAAACGTCTGAATTCACAGCGAATGCATAATATTGTGACAGTATTCAGTATGATTCAGTAGCATAATGTATGGAAGTTGGGGCGTAACATGAGCTTGCCATAACATTGTTCTGTTGTGCGACAGAATCGGCCCATTAATTTAGTTCCAATAATAGGTAAAAACTTATTTTTTTTCTTTTATGTTTTGGTCAGTTTATACTTCAACACAGCAAAGAACATTATTACTGGATGTAGTTTTTAGGTTTGTCTTCTTCTATCTTTTGAACAATTGGTTAGGAAAATAAATGAATAATTAAATCAAACACAGGTAAGAAGGTAAGGCCATTATAGTAATGTCTACACGTAATAGTAATGAGGTGTTCAGCATTGTCTAATATTAGGGTTACTTCAGACTAAAATAATTATTTTCAAATGAATTGAGTGTGTGTTTATAGTTTTCCTCTTGAATAGCCTTATAATCAATTTTTAGAGTCCTTTCATCAATTGATCCAAATGCGCCATATAAAAATTATACTTTTGAAGTGCTAATGACTTATGTTTTATTAGTGGAGAAGTATATATGAGAAATATGACATATTACAAATAATCAAATATTTGCTGCCATAAAAATTTTATCTTTAGAATGGAATTGTTTCCAAGTACAAAGTTATTATATATTATTACTGCAGATTAGAACGAACGCAATTGTTATTTATCTAGAAAAATAAAAATCAATAAAATATAAACAAATCAAGTATACGAATCAAGTTGAATCAAATCAACCATAAAAATCAATAAATCTTTGAACAAATCAACTATACGCCCGAATAAAATTAATCATAAAAATGAATAAACCATAAACAAATCAACTATACGCCTGAATAAAGTCATTTATAACTAGCTGTAAGTGGCATTTCGCCTCAAGGAAAATTACATTAACCTCCCGATATACTCGTATGTTAATAATGGACTTAATAAATACAAAATCAATATACTAATTTATCAAAGATTTATAAGTATTTTGAGTTGCATTATGGATTCATAACGTGAGAAACTAGTTCAGATTATTCAATTTTGTACAATTTTTCTATTGCCCATAATTGAAAATCTAACACGTGTCTAATACAACTCGGAGTATTTTGTAAAAGAGCAGTCCAATAATTTAAATTTTAATAAATGTTATAATTGAACCATTTTATGCAGACTATAATAATGCTTCAGTGTACTTATAAAGTACCAAGTATCATCAAGATCATGAAGATTTTTTTAACAATTAATTACAAAGAAACTGGTATGGTGAATCTTTGACCAAAACTGATCAGTACGATTCCCAAATGATATCTTTCGCATCGTACATGAATTTTCAAAACTGGATCAGGATTTTTGGCTAAAAGACGGCTTATATAATTTTTCACTTATTTTCTAATTTAAAAAAACGGCTCAGCCGATGATATCAGAAAAACTAACCAACGTGAGTGTTTACCAACTTTTATCAAATGGCTTTTAAACTTTTAAAATCGGTTCAGCCGCTTCTGAGAAGGAGAAAACTTCGACAAAAAGTCAAATATTGGCTCACATACACACATACTTTTTCCAAAAGTGGTAACATTCTATCCAGAGTGACTTGAAACGATTACAAAACATAAAATTAGCAAATCGGAGAAGTTAAAAATGAAAAAAAAAAAAATAAGCTAGTCAACTATACGCCTGAACTATGTTTTTTTCCTCAAATGTGTAATTTTTCCCCAGAAACGATATTTCCCACCGACTCCCCTCTTAGCGTTTGCCCGCCGTTCGAAGTGAGAAGCGAGTCATCCCGCAGCCCGCGGCCATTCCGAATACTTCGGAAGGAGTTTTGCAAACGACATGCAAATTCTTTATGAAGACATTGTTCCTTGTACACCGTTATTCAATTACATAGGAGAACTTCTGACGAAATTGATCACTGTATTAAAATGTGTACATAGAGACTAAAAGTTTCTCTGGAACGAAGACTCACTCGAATTGTAAACATGCGAAGTGAATTAAATATTTTCATGGTCATAAGCAAAAAGATTTATATTGTATATAGAGATTTATACGTATATCATATAAAAATTACGTATCAAGTTGGTTTGCCCTGATGGTCTCCTACATTATTTTCAATTTTACATATATTGATATTTGTTCGTTTTGTTTGTTTGAATTTGTTTGAAACTAATTATGGTAAATATAATACCTTATTTTTTGCGCAACTATTATCTACTTCACAAATGTATATTTTCTTCGTCAGTTCAATAATGCGTCATCTGCTGCCAGAAATATATCTTCTGGAGTACCACAAAGCAGTGTTCTGGGTCCGTCGTGGGCATATATTGCTGATATACCTAAAAATCCAGAAACCATGATTTCACTTTGGAGATGATACTGGAGTTTTAGTTCAACATGGTAATCAATTTCTTGACTCCAAAAACTACATAAATAAAAATACGTGGATCAAATGGAAACAATTATTGAATCCATGAGAATGAAAGTACACAATACTAAATAGGCACATATTACTTTCATCTTACGACAAGCCATCTAAGCGACTAAAGAAACAAAATTTTATTAAATTTCTGTGTGAAATTAATTAAATATTTACTGCAGTAATTATATAATAGAAGGAGATATCAATGGATAGTTCTCTTTCACACGTCATCTTCTAAAATTGTTTAAAATTTGTAGCCTTTTGTTCTTTATACAGATCGCTATGATAAATAAAACAGAAAAAAATCATGCTTTATCGAAAATAAAGAAGCACTAAATGATGAAATATTCTCAACGTTCTGACACTATATATGCCACCATTTAGTTTTTATTTTTACTTGTTCAATGAAACCTAAAATATAAAATATTATTTTAAAACTGATCAATGACTTGTATACGACAAGACCAAAATCCATCATTACACTTTTATATTATATTATTTGTTATAACATTTTCTGTCTGAATAGCATTTTGGAGAAAAATTTAAATAATTATTCGCACAAAATGAATAACATATATTTAATAACCCAATTTACTAATTAAAATAGGTCAATAACGATTACTTAATTTCAATTGCAAAAATTTACGATCGCAACCTATTATCATATAATAAAAAATATCAATTAATTTATCGTAACAATATCGTTTTCAAAATACTTTACATATTTATAGAATAATTTTCATATCTATTTATATATGAAACGACCGTATTTTATGGTATAAATACACTTTATTGGTTGTGATTTATTTATTTAATGGATGAGATATAATAGGGGTAATCTCCTTTCATGCGATTATTTATGTGCGCATTATCCAATTCCCGACAAATTGCGATCTAGCTGTTTTTATTCTGCAAATATTATTTCAGTTTGTTGTTTTGTAGACAAATTTTATACATACATACAAGATAGTTAAAATTACACGAGAATAAAATATTATAATTACATATAAATTATAATCGGTCCATAGATAGATATTGAGGAATTGGTTTAAAAATTAACAGTGGCTTTTTGATAGGAAAACTCAATGGATTACCTTCTCGTAGGGTAAGTGAAGGTTTCTGGTCATACCTCAGATAATATGGATGTGTGTGTATGTATGTGTGGATACAATTTTTTGTCAAAGTTTTCGGGAGTACTGCTCAACCGACTTGAATGATTCAAAAAGTAATCGATTCCTACTAAAGGCAAAAGGGAAAGGCAGGTCCAGCCGATTCCGAGATACAAAGAAATGTGTCCAGAAAAGGAAAAATCGTTTTTGCGATAACCGATTTGAATGATTCAAAAAATATTCAATTCGTGGTGATGGGCATAAGTGATGATTGGCACAGACAGGTCCAGCCGTTTGGGAGATACTGAGATGGCAGTTTTGAGAAAAAAAGCATCCAGTTTGAATGATTCAAAATAGTTTTTGCTTGCGTTGACGAAACGATTATTCTTGGAAAAATCAAAAAAAAGTTTTTTCGTTTAAAAATTAAAAAAAAAAAGTATTCTTTCACTTTACACAAAATAATTACTAATTCGCTTATATTTTTCGAATATAATGTTACGGTACAGGGAGTTCCAGCAATTTGCCTTAAGGCATGATGCCATACACAACTAGTTTCATTTTATTGTTTGTACTACATATCTAATATTTATCTTATTTTACAAAAAAAAAGAGAGAAAAAAGAAAAAAATATGAATCATCTGCATGAGCTATGTATAAAAATTAATTCATTTTTACAATGATTTTTCTGATATTATAAATACTGCTGTTATAAATAATTATGAAAGTTCCCTAATTCATTAACAAATCCCATAGGACAAAGGACAAAGGACAAAGAGTCTTCCTCTTCTGATTCAGCTCTTCTGAATAATTCTGATTCAGCAGACATTTTTGCATAAACCATTTTGAATATAATTTATATTATAGTTACTAATTATAGTTAGTATTTAAAACTTGAAATTAATAAATCAATGGATGATGGAAAAATCTATTCTGTACTTATATTCTAAAATATTTCATATATTGAAAGGTGTTATAAATTTCAAATATACCATTTCAAATATATTAAAAAACTAAAGTTAAAAAAGTAAAACTTACCATTTAGATGAAGTCGCTGCACTCCTATTTTTGAAAATAAGTATTTTGTATCCAGAATTGTAAATAATGAAAATAATTATCATGCAATACAACATAATATAACAACTCCTTGCAATATCTGAGGCATAAAAAATTATCGTTACCTGAAAGATAAGAACAGAAAATAATGAAATTAAAAGTTTGAAATATAACAGTTTTCATTTCAAATTAATAATATTTATTTCATTTTTTTACATATTTTTATTATTAATTTTTAGTGCGTAAATATTGTTATTGTTTCAATAATAACCTATCAAAAGAATAACATAACTTGATAATGAACTTTTGATCATCATATATTTTTTTATAATTTTGAAATTTAATAAATTTTAAAAATTGTTGTAAAAGACGTATTTGGACATTGAAATTTTTCATGGCTTTATGCTAAAATCTGACGTATTAGGACTTTTAATTGTACAAAAAAAACTTGTTGGTAAATAAATAACTATTAATTAAAAGTATAATAAATAAAGTTAAAAATAAAACGACCTTGGAATATTAGCTAAAAAAATTATGCAAAAAAATGAAAAAAAAAATTAACTCGAATTTGTTGAAAAATTAATATAAAATAATGAAAGTGCATTATGTAATTCATGTATCTACTATCAAATTATCTAAAATTATCAAATTATCAAATTATATAAAAATATATAATATATCAAATGTCCATTACATACGCTTGTTTCATACACACATTCACACAAATAAATATCTGAATTATTACAAACATGTTTTTTGTTGTTGATATTTTCTAGACCGTACAATAATATTCATATTTAGAAAACATTTCACATGAACACTATTAATTAATTATGAATTTATTAAATGTTTCGTTACTTTTGTTAATTATCATTTTAATACCCATTAATCTTATATATGTATACAGATTATCCAATACTTTCGATACATTTGTATAAATGCATAATATCGGATGGTTGTTTCTTAATAATATAAGCTATAGGTATATAAGATTTTCATTATTTTACAGATAATTTTTGATAAAAGTTATCGTTTGTACATGGCTATATAATAAATAAGAAAGAATGTTAAAATGAATTAAAAATAATTAAATTGTTACTAAATCATTTTCATATTATATTAAAATTTTTGTGAGTAATAATTCAATACAAAACTTTACTATAATTTGCAACGTCACTAATTTTGTTAAGACACGATAATAAAACTATATATAAACTTTAAAAATCGTCAAATTTTATAAATTATATTACTTTTTTTCGTATACCCAAAAAATGAATTTTTATTTATTTATAATCGAAAAAAATAAAGACACTATTTAAAGCAAATATCCCAGAACAGAAGTAAGTACAACACAAGTAGAAATAAATTCAATTTAACCTATGTATAATAAAAATTTAATTTTTAGGGTTCCATACAGTCGTGAAATATTATAATTTCATATTACAATTTTATATTTTGTTTATTTTAAGAGTCTCATTTTCTGAGACCTCAAACGTACCCTCCATAATGAATTTAAGATAATGTACACGTTACCAAATTCTACGTATTTTAGTACTAACAAGAATAATTTTATATTTTTATATAAATATTTACACAATTATAATTACAATAAATTCTCTATATGTCATATTTTTTATATCTAAGATTAGTTTTATGTGATAAATCTCAAATCGTTTTAAACATAACTTTAAACTGAACTCTCCCAATAGAAAATTAATAAATGACATAGCACTAAAAAAAATGTGAGGAAAGAATATTTTAATTTGGGTTTTGATTTTTGCTTAGCAATTAATTTTTCAATCAGTGCCTTATTCCTTGAACAGTAAAATTAAAATATTAGTTTAAAAGAATGATCAAGAATTTCGACCCCCAAGAATTTTCATGAGCAATGAAATCATTTTTCATAAAATTGCAAAATTTTCTATAATAAATATTAATAATTTAACTCTGTTTCGAAGAAATTATTTAGTAAAAATTTAGAAACGGATGTAACAAATATCCGAATAGAATTTTAAGTCTTTTCTATATATTTTACATGGCAAATGGACTATTTTAGCATACACATTAGGAAAAGATTCTGTACATTCAAAATAATTTATACGTCAAATCAAATTTGACGAGCTATTCATCATATGAACTGTATATACACTTATTACATATATCAAATAGTCTTTTATTAATTTTTTATCAATTTTTGCATGATTTTTGTTTTAAAATGCACTCACTATTAGTGTTTTTCAGTCAACGTTCATAATCTTACCATTATAAATCAAATCGTTGCAAATCGTTGCACAATATTTTTTAATTCACTTCCAGCACTACTACTTCATTATTTAACTGGATTCAGCACGATAAAAACAGCACAGTAGCCGATAGAAGTACCACTGAAAAAGGTTCTCCTAACCTGAGTTGTCCTCCATGTTGCATGGCCGCTGGGTGCTCACCTGGAAAGGTAAATGAAAAATTGAAGTCTTTGGGATATAAATTGGAAATAATCTTTGAGATTATCTGATACTTCATAAAATCAATTAAATGATTTGTCTATATTTAATTGATTTGGATTATGCGAACAAATGTGTCCATAAATCAAAGAAAAACCTATAATCTTGGTTAAGCTTGCTGTACTTTCAAAAATAACATCGAACAATTATAGTACCTATTACAGATTAAGACTTATAAATTGGAGCAAATTTATCAAAATTGATAAAATAAGAATTCTGAAGTACGTAGACGTCTATAAATGTATTTTAATCTATTATTGTTATACTTTGAATCGAATCCACTTAAAATATTTATAATATTTGCGTACATTATTTACAGAGATTAATTATATGTATACATACATATATATATATATATATATATATATATATATATATATATATATTAGGTTGTCAATATATCCCTTCCGCTTTTTTGCTCTTGGTTTATAATACAAAAAGGCGGAAGGAAGATATTTGACAACCTTATATATATATATATATATATATATATATATATATATATAATATAAAATAGCCAATACAAGTATTAATTATAATTCTCATAAAATATAGAGAAAAACAATTAAGATTTAACTATTATTTTGGCCATTTTATCTTATTGTTACTCTGATCTCCACTATAATAGTGGTACTATTTTTCTAATATAATTTCCATTTAAGTTACTCGTTCATTTAAAATATATGCAACATTTGAATGTCGCAACCCTCATAATTTTTGTATTTATTTATGTTATTGAATGACATATATAATATCAATACAGTATCCAATAGCATAATATAATATATAATATAACTTATTAGCCAAAGCTCAATATCACTTTCAATATTTTACTCTTAGGGTACCTAACCCTACTTAACAGATATTGATTGGTGTTTTTCTAACTGTACTAACCATTATGAATAAAAACTTAGAAAAAAAACATGTTGTGAATTCACATGCAATTCACATATTGTGAACAGTTAAATATTAAAGTAACAAAATATAGTAAGCAGAAAAAACTGGGCCAATTTATTTTATCAGCTATAATTATATTAATTTACCAGTTAGCTGGGAGAACAGTAAGTTAAATTGTAATTTGAATATTTGTTCACGAGTAAATATAGCAATACTGTCCTTAAATACGATGCATAAAACTAAATCATAGAAGAGAAGGGCGAGTGTCACAACCGTCCACACCGTTTAGGACTGTTGTGAAAATAGGTTAAAAAACAATAGCTATAAATTTTAAAATGGCTTATAATGATTTTTATTGCCAGAAAATATGATACAACACAACATAATCATTTAAACAAATTCTATGAATATAATACAAGAATATATAACAAGGCATATTTTTTTAAACAAAATTAACAAGTGATATTTATGAAATCTCTTTTTTTGTATTAAATTTTCCTTTCCCTTTCTCTTTCGTATTTTGTCTTAGTTAAGTTTAATTTTTCTTTATCTGTTTAATCTTCACCCAAAAAAGACAGGACCCATGACAACATGTCAGAACCGTACCCACTTTTGAAAACAAATTATCGTTGTGACTGAGCTGAATTATTTACGCAAAAACTAATTGCAGATAATCAACTCCTATTGTTCAGCTTACAGCAAAATAGCTACTAATATTTAACTTACAGCAAAATGATTTATATGTAAACACATGATAGTTATTATTAATAGAGATAGAAACAAAGAAACATTTTTTGATTCTTTAAAAGCAATACGGTCTGCGAATCTTGATAATGTAGGGCGCAGACTAAATGCAATAAAGAGAACATGTTCAAACAAAAATACTACATCTTGCTCCTTTGGACCCTATGTCAAAATCAATATATTTTAGCTGGCACAACCATGTCCAATCTCTCCTACGAACGAAAGATTTGTAATAAAAAAGATGATTCTGTTATTTGAATATTTATTATTAACATATTACAAATGCTCTTTCTCATTTGATGAACCTCGAAAATAGTTTTGCGGGCGTAGATCCCTGGTATGTTGTCATAGACCTTTGGAAGTCGACGTGAATCACTTTGAGAATCGCTGATCTTGCCTAATGTAACTTAGCGATAAGTTTGCGATATAGTTGTGCATTGCATAATCATCACAGATTATTTAATTGATTATGAGGCTAAAGCTACGACGGTCGCCTACCAAATACGAGGCATTCATGTTCATGTTTGAGGAGTGATTTGATGAGTTTGAGACCCTTGCAAGTTATCATAGACCCTCGGAAGTCGAAATGAACCACCTTGAGAATCTCTGATCTTGCCTAATGTAACTAGTAATAAGTTTAACAGATTATTTAATTGATGCTGAAGCTAAAGCTAAAATCCGTTGACTGTTATAATAATAACGCCGCCTACCAAATATTTCACAAAATACTAGACTAAAAAATTAAAAATAGATTATATGCAATATATGTCCGTAAATTGGTTGAAGGCATAGTGAAATGATTTTTAAAAAATATTTTTACTAAAGTTCTACATATAACATTAGTATTTAAATTTTTAATAT